CCTATCGCCTCCCTCAGGCATTGCGAGATCGTTGGGACTCACTGGTGCCTCCGGGCGAACTCCTGAGCTGGCCTTCACAGCCATGTGAGCAATGCTATCCTTCGGAGACGCTGCACCTAGGAAAATCCCTTCGTCTTCGGATGAGTCACTCATGTGAGCAATGTGAGCTGCAGGCTTCGGGGTCGATCCAGCTTTCGGGGCATTTGGCATCTTACATTGGGGGTCTCCGGCCCAGTGACCTAATCCACCACAACGAAGACACTTGGATTTCGCCTTGATCTCTCTGACAGTTTCTGGCGGCGTTGCTCGATGCTCAGGTGAGACTTCACTATCTTACCTTTACCTTTCCCCTTAGGCTTACCCTTGCCTTTGCCTTTAGCCTTTCCGAAAGCGACGAAGGCGGCAAGCTGCAACTGGATGGCATCACCTGAGGAACATTCTTCGGCATCTTCACAATCGACCACTGCATTCAAGGCAATTGCTTCATATTCATCAACATCATCATGGTACTCAAATTCCTCGTATTCGGCATGGCTAGCATGTTCAGGTTCTTCAGACTCTTCAATTCCTCCTAACATGCCTACGAAAGAATCTTCTTCATGATAATTGTCTTGCAAGTCCTCATCTCTCCATTCGAAATCTCCTTCCCAATCGGGATAGATAGCATTGTAACCTGCACGAGGGTATTGGCTACCTTTGCCTTTACCTTGGTACCCCTTCTGGTACCCCTTGCCTTTGCCTACCTGAGGCTGAATTCCCCGTCCTGTCCAGGATCGGGATCCTTCACGGAGGTGGATTCCACTATAGTTGTCTACCAAGACTCGCGCAGTGCCTTCAAAGTCATCGCTCTTGCGGCAAGCCTTCACCACGAGCATCTCCTGTCGGGAAATACCTGACATCTCCAACAACAGCTCTGTGCGGAAAGCTTCTGAGATCATCATCGTGGGATCAAGCTCAACCAACAAAGTCCACCAGCGTCGTCGACGCTGAGTGTACGACAACATGCTTTCAGTAGGCTGTCTTGACAGTGGACCTCCATGTTTCTGTCCTGCGCGAGAAAGCTCCTTACTCTCCTCCAAGGCACGAGGAAACACATGGTTGCGTATCACCTCAACGAGGCGCTCCAGTCCCCCTGGACGAGAAAGCGTCTCTAGGCCTAAATCTCTGGCAAGCAAAAAGGCATCACCTCTCAAACCTTCTACGATCTTGTTCACCAGGACACTACGATCAATGATACTCGACTTGTCTGACTTAACGGACGAAGCCTTTGGTGATGTCGCACCAGCCTTCGGCTTGGGAGGACCGGCTGCTTCACGCGGCTCGGGCTCAAACTCCTCGGGATAATGACCTGGCGAAGGGAATCTGAATCCTTCATCCGACTCTGGTGGCCAAGACTCCCCTTCATCAGCAGGTCCATCAACAGGGTCCTGCTTCTTTGCTTGTTGCGTTTGGGCTTGGTCATACAGCTTGATGCGGAGTTCGGTGCGAAACTTCCAATCATGGAACGATGCAGGATCTCCCCAATAGATGTAAGACCCACTCTTGGTTTCAAGGGGGTTGCTTACCCTGTCACCAGTGCTACCCGAATGAAACTTGAGTCCGGCAATGGACATGTTCGACGATTCCGACGGAGATTGCTCGGGCGAGCAATCTATTCCAGGCTCTGTCCCCCAACGGGATCAGAGGAGGCAAGCGAAAGCACGCAAAGAAAAGCAGGCTCAGGCTTGATGTTCTACGATTCCAATGACCTGGATCAGTACGTGCCGGAGTCAGGCCGTCACCTGCTCCGCTACCAATGTCGGTAGCAACCGGAATCGTACTGCCCACACGCTCTTTTCGCTTCGATGCGAGCACGGTATAGCTAAAGGGCCCTAGGAGCCAAACGGCGGCAGACACAACATAGTGTGACAACCTGGCTCTACAGAGAGCGATCCTACCTCAAATTCACACTATCAAAATACTACTTCTACTACGACGACTACTCCACACCAGCCACTCAACTACTCAGCCACTCAAGCATTTCTTCCTGTCAGCCACTCAGGCTTTTCTCCCTGTCAGCACTCAGCCAGTCAGACTTTTCTTCATGTCAGCCACTCAACCACTCAGGTTTTTTGTACTGTCAGCCACTCAGCCACTCAGGCTTTTCTTCCTGTCAGCCACTCAGCCACTCAAAAATTTCTTCCTGTCAGCCACTCAGCCACTCAGGATGTTGTTCCTGTCAGCCACTCACCCACTCAGACATTTCTTTCTGTCAACCAGTCAGCCACTCAACCACGCAGGCTTTTCTTCCTGTCAGCCACTCAGCCACTCAGGCTTTCTTCGTGTCAGCCACTCAGCCACTCAGGATCTTGAGTGGCTGAGTGGCAGGATCTTGAGTGGCTGAGTGGCTGACAGGAAGAAACTCCGCATTTCCACGCACAATCGATTATTATCTTTAGGCACTACGGGGTGAAGCAATTGATGTGTTCCTCTTTTCGTCACACTTCTTCCGCCTGTTCAAACCCCAACTGTCTATGTCACACCTTAGATTTCAAGCAAATTATGTTTCTACAATGTTGTATATTGACCCTTTGCTAATTGTCTGTTCAAACAATACTGGAGTTGGAGTCGAAGCATGCCATCTTTAGCAGATTGTTGCATTCACAAAAACCCGTGTTGCCTCCTGATCCGGTTGTGCCAGCCACGGTCTCTGCAGAATCCTTCTGCTGCCTTGGTGACAACTGAATTGTCAAAATCAATCCAAGCCACGACACAGCATACGCTAAGGCTCAAAATCTAGATGCAGCTAAAGCACATCAAATCAGCCCGACCATGACCTTGGTAGATACTTGAAAGAATCATCGAGAACTTCTTGCCATGTAGCTTTCTGTGTGCACACTATTTACTGTGTTCTTGCTGCTGGCTGTGCGAGTTGTATGTACAGTCTTGTTGTGCCTGTTGGCTTCCTGTTCCATGTGTGGTTGAAGGCTACTAGAGTGCGGCATAGGGTTGCGGAACAATGAACAGTAAGCCCCTTCAGCGTGTCTTTGCTCAAGCAATGTTGAAATTTGTTGAAGTAACTCTCACATTGCTTTTTCCTCTTGCCTTTCCTTAAATCGCCTGCTACAGTAAGGATTTAACGGTTCTTTAGCGGTTTGGTAGTAATTCCCTTGTATACCAAAGAGGCTGAGGATCTAAGAGCATACCCCAAAATGGTCAAGGCTTGAGTACGGTGGAATCCTTCAAACAAGAAAAGGATGATATGATTCGCCAACCCATGTCATGCTCGAATGCAGGAAAACATGTGCAGCCAAAGCCACAGTTCATCTTCGCACTACGCCTGGGCCAATTCACTGACACTGGAGCAAACAAAGCCGGCGAAGGAGCTCACAAGAAGAAGACGCTCTCAACATCTCTCAACGCACTACACTTACACCATATAGTGTTCGTGATGCGTCATGCATCCAATGATCTAATGCATCTAGCATCTAGTTACAGTATATACTCTTGTTGTGTCATGTTATGTCTAGTTGTCAGCTAAGTGACGCTGAAAAAGCCTCTTGAGACTTCATCACCTCTATTGTCGGCCTTGGAGCCTCACTCTTGTCATTCTTGCCGCGCTCTGTCTGTACGGCCTGTACGGCTGGGTCTTCCACAAGCTGCCACCTCGTTCTGGGTCTTTCTTGTCTTTCTGTTATGGAGCCTGGTCTTTCTGTCAAAGGCCGATGTTCGGAACCTCTGTAGATCTGTTGAGCCTCTTGGGAAGCTTTGTTCGCCAAGATCCATTGATTCCTTTGCTGAATCTCTTGCTGCCGCTGCAGGTAGAGTCTCTGCATGTGCATTTGCTCCATCTGGATTTGCATTGCATCTGCAGGAGGTCTTACTTGCATTTTTGGCTGCATCTCACCCAAAGAAAAGCTGCTGGCGGGTAAGAAGTGTCCGCTATTGGGCACTTTCTCTGTTTTCTCCCTTGCATCTTGACCCTCGACATCGATTCCAGGTGTCTCAGAATCCCTTCGAGCTCTGCTAGGTGTAGGAACAGACAGTGCACCGGCACAAAGGTTGGGTTGCCAAGCAGGGGGCCCAGGTGGTGCCATAAGAAGAGCTTGCGGAGCAGTCAGCGCTGGTGGATACGGAGGAGAGAGCGAAGCTAGCGAAGGAACACTGAAGTGCATCTTCGGATTCGTGTGAAGCCTTGGAACACTTGTGGATCTTGGGGCGAAGTTTCCACCAGCACTAAGTGAACGACGTGCGGCTGAAGGGGCACTTGGACCAGAAGGGCCACTCGCGCCACTCGGGCTGTTGGAAGGCCGCGGTTCTGTGTTTCCAAGGTCAAAGGATGGCACTGGTTGGAAGAAAGGCACTGGCTGCGGCACAAAGGGCTGCCCTATTGCAAAGGTGCGTGTTTGAGGGTAGCCACTGTAGCTACTGCCAAGAAATGGGTTCAAAGGATCTGGAAGTGTAGGTGTTTGTAGTTGCCCCAATTTCAAAAGCGGTGGAGCTTGCAATACAAAGCGCGGGCCCTCACCGCCGTAACACCATGTATTCTGCTCGCCTCCATGTCTCTGACGGTCTAAAACTCTGGACATGCAAAGCGGACGCCCCAAGGACCCTGAGCGCTTTCTTGCCGCCAGGACCTTGGAATCTTCGTCCTTTTGTCCCTTGGAGTCTTTGCTTTTTGCTTCCGTCCTTGTGTTTCTCTTGTCCTTTGCCTCATCTTCATCATCGCTCACACCACTCTTTATGTATCGATATCGCGGGGGTGTCTCTGGACCAGGCATCGCAGCCTTCTCCCATGAGCCCGAATGCCAAATGGATCGTGAAATGTTTGAAAAGTGCGGACCTATCTTTCTTTGGAACCGTCTGATTTGGCTAGCTGGCTTCAGTGAGACTGACTATCCTTTCAAATGGCTTGTGTCAAGTGCGTGTGGTCTGAATGTGAAATGGCTTGCGAGAAAAGCTTGCAAAGCCTCAAAGTCTTTGGAAGTGAAACCTGGCAAAACCAGCAAAAGGCACGTGTCCTCATCTTTTTTCCGCCGTCTCGAAGCCATGCCTCAGAGCCTCGGGCATTGCTTGATAGTGCAAATGTGGCAAAGAAAGTAAAAGAAAAACATAGAAAAACAACCTGCATGTGCTCTTCAGATCTCTGCAGTGCTCCAAGGAACACTCAGGTGTAGTAGCTAGAAGCTACTAGTAGCAAGGTGCCTTACTACTAGTAGCGATCCCCTTCTTCTGGCACTGGCACAAGCATAGTGGCACCAACTTTCGGAGACTGACAAAAAAAGTGCCTTACTAGTAGTAACAAGCTACTAGTAGCAAGGCACCTAGCTACTAGTTACTAGTAGCTTCTTGTTAGTAGTAGCAATGCCCTTGTTACTAGTAGCGATGCACTTGTTACTAGTAGCTTCTTGATACAAAAAACGGTCCGAGTCCTTGTCTTCTCTCATGAATAGTCTGTGAGGACTAAGGGCATCACTCGGTTGATCTCCAAATGCTTGTTGCTGTTGGTGCATTCTATGCCATGCTACAAGAAGCTGCAAGATGAAATTAGTGAGGTCTAGGCTCCTTCTCATGCTTAAATGAGCGCAAGTTCAAACTTTTAAACTAGCCAACACTTGAGCAGTGCAATACAGGACCGACATACAACAAAGCAACCCTCACAACTGCCACCAAGTGCAAATTTGCCAGCGTGAACTACAGCTTCTCACACCAATCGACGCCTTCTTGGCCTTCATTAGGTTCACGACCAATTGAGGTGTACCATACCTGCATGTAGATGCTTAACATCCAGTCCCACTTTTAATTGCACACACGCAGGTGGGGTAGCAACGGACTAAAAGAAAGTGCTCTTGTACAGTAAAGCCGTAAGGCTATCAGAATAGAATCCAAAGGTCATGACCTCAGGCCTTTCACCCGCAAAACCTTGTGAAAGTGTTGGAATGCCAGAGTTGGCGAGCCTCTCCAACAAATCCACAAAGTGTCGGCGCGTGGCGGACAGCGTGGGGTCACAGCGAGGGTATACAACCTGCGAGTCTGACATCACAAACAGAAGAGGACCCAGCATAGGAATGCATAGGAAGGGTAGGGGAAAAGCCAATGTGACTCAAGTGAGTTTTGGCACTTTGTAAGCTTCCAGCCGGCGGCTTCGGATTGTAGGCAGCAGCTTCTTGTGACCAAAACAAAGGGACGCTGCCCCGAATCTGAGCCGTGACGTGGTTTCGCGATGGTTTCATTCATATCCAACCTACTAGCGATGGCCTCCAACCTAATAGCAATGACCTCCATTCATATGTATATATATATAATTATATATATATAGTCTGTGTTCCTTTCACGACTTTAGTACTTGGGGTAGGAAACAACTGTGGCCTTCGCAAGCGCAGGTGGATTGAGATTACTGAGCCTCATAGGCCTTTGTTACTAGTAGCGATGCCCTTGCTCCTAGTAGCTTCTTGTTACTAGTAGTACGGCCAGGAGCTACTAGTAGCGTCCTTGCTCCTAGTGGCGATGCCCTTCGATTCTAGGCTCCCGGAAAAGATTCAAGCAGGTCACAACTTCAAGCTTGCCTGTACGAAGCTCATCACATGGCCACATGCCAGGTGTCGCGTGGATTCATCGCAAAGAAGCTGTTCAGTCTCCACATCATTTCCCACCTGCCACCAGCCGCCCAAGCAGGCAAAAGTGTTTCAAATGTTAACCACCTTGGGGTTTTCAAGCACGGTAGATTGGACGGCAGGGCCTGGCCATCCACATTAAGGCCTCGCTTTCGGTAGCCTGGCACAGGACAACTGAAGCGCACTGCGGTGTTTTCACTTTGCTTCAGGCAGCATCACGTGTGCCAGCGTAGAACCGGGAACGCCTCACATCTCCACCCTCTGCGACATGTGCCACTTGCAACGTACAATATGCTACTCCAACAGGTTCCAAATCCGAAAACTAATAGCATTCTTGTTCCTAGTAGCGATGCCAGGAGCCCCTAGTAGCTTCTTGCTCCTAGTAGTAAGGCCAGGAGCCCCTAGTAGCATTCTTGCTACTCCAAGAGTGCATCGCCTTGCTATTAGCGCCACAGAAAATGACCACCCGAAGGATGAGCATCGAGTTTGCCTTGGATGAGACCCTCATATGTCACACTTCTTTTCTCTGCTCTTGCAAGGTTCTATTTGAGTTGAGAGTTGAGCTCGAAACGCAAAAAAGCCATGAATGATGGACAAACACCAGTGTTGCCAACGCTCTTTCTGCAAGAAGGGCGTCATGTGAAAATGATTCCACCTCAGGTCCACTGCATGTACGGCTCATTCTGGCTCAAGCACACTGAGGCCCCGGCACGAACCTGTGATGCTTGGAAGCATCCTCACACAAGCGAGTCTTACGCGGCTTTACATCAAGAGAGTCCAGTCCCTGGGCCTGGCCTGTGTGCATGAAGGCTTGAAACGCGATACAATGTCTGTGTAGTAGTACTGTATGGGCAGGAAAACCAAAGTTGTACCTAATAGCAACCTATATTACACTGTATGTTCTTTTTTTCTTTGTCTCTAGACTCTAATAGCGATGGCCTCCAACCTAATAGCGATGGCCTCCAACCTACGTACGTCCTTTTCCAAATACAATGGCCGCAGTGCCGCACCTGACTAACTTGCAACGACCTGTCGCCCCATGGCAGCCAGCGAGTTTTCCTGGGTTCAGGGCCGTGGGATGCCCGCTTTGCATCAGCCAGATTCTGCTGCATTGTGCGGCTGAGTTCGTAGGAGTAGGAGAAGTAGAAGTCCTTTGAACCGAGTTGTAGAATGCGAACAAGAAGCATTCAGTCAGGTAATGTCGCCTGTTGTTGAATTTCATGAGTCTTATCCTTAGGGTTGAGTCCTCAAGTGTTGATACAGAAAACATCAGAAACATGCAGAGGAGCAAAGGAGAATACGTGAGAAGTGAGACAGGTTAAGTATGTGAACTGTCCCTAAATCTAGGAACCAAGTCGTCACTCGTCAATAGAGCTCAAGCCTGACATCCTGACCTGTGTCCTTGATGATAAGACTTACTCAAGCCAGAAGCTTACCTATACCCCCCTTCGAGCTGTCTTTCTCCATTCTCGTCTTATGTCCCTTCCCCTTCATCTGTGGTCCTCCATCCTCTGGTTCCTTTACAGAAAGGTATTTGACTGAGGTGGCAAGGACTTACCGAACCTATACTATACAGTAAAAAGAACTTGTATGGAAGCCTGCAGCATAATTCATACTTCTGGGAAACTGTGGTAAGCCCAGCCTACTCAGTGTGGCAACTTTGAAACCCAAGTCGTCATTGTACGTCTCGCGGTTGCAAAACCGTCTGGCAACTCACCTGTCAGCCTCTCCTTGCATAAGTTGAACTTGTTGAACTGGTCCATAAATGACTTTTCTTCCCTGCCAGTTCAATGACAAACCAGTATCCACAATGAAGCGCCTGCAAGCAGACCTTCTTGTGTATTCAGTGAGTCCGTGAGGCAAACAAAAGAGAGGTGCGTCTAGTCTATGGGTTCATTGGATTCAATCCTCTCTTCTCGTATTCAGGCTTAGGCTTTGAAGTGTCACTGAAGAGCGGCACCAAAGTAGTAGATTCGATGGATAAAATGTTGTGGTGGCCTCAAACGTGAACGGGCAAGCCAACATAAACAAATTGAAGTTATATAACTCCAGCGTCTTCGGTTGTCAGTCGTCAGCTGCGAAACCTTGGTGTCCTGCCAATTCTGCCAACCTTGCAAGGATGACGACACGGCGACCTACCCAAACTCAAGCTTGTTCCTAATAGCTTCTTGTTCCTAATAGCTTCTTGTTCCTAGTGGTAAGGCCAGGAGCCCCTGAT